TTTTACATTCTAATTGTAGATATGCTGTTGTGGGGTGTTAGACGAATGTCTTTACATTGAGTGAGATATTTCAGAGGATTCCTTTGCTGATGTTTCAAATTTACCCATTTCTATCATCCACTTCCCTGCCCCCTGTGGCACCCTTTGGCGACCGGCTGCCTCTCCCCGATCCGCGCCAGGGACTTTCAAGGAAATTGGTTTCTTTCTGTCACAAATGAATGGCCGTCGCGAGACCTCTTGGCCTCTCCTCCCCGGCGTCTGTTCGGTGTATTTTCATAGTCACTCTATCCCGCCGCCGCGAATCTCGTTCCCGTCTCATAAGTCAGCGAAGGTGAGTATCACTGCCTTTTACACGCCTTTGGACACCCCGGCGCTTCGCTGTTGTTGTTTAGAGACGGCAGGAGTTCAGTCACCCTTCACGGCCGCCATCTTGGGCTACCGCGCCCCTCCCGCGCCTTCTTCTGCCCGCGCCCGAGCTGTCACAGGACACCGCAGGCGCCGGGCCGGTCTGCGGTCCTGCGCTGTCGTTCCGCTGTTTCTTTCTCTTTGAGTTAGATTGTTTGCCTTTCTGTTTGTCTCTTCTGGGTCTCTCTCTTCTCTCTCCTCTCTCTCTCTCTCTCTCTCTCTCTCTCTCTCTCTCTCTCTCTCTCTCTCTCTCTCTCTCTCTCTCTCTCTCTCTCTCTCTCTCTCTCTCTCTCTCTCTTCTTCTCTCTTTTCTCTCTCTCTCCTCCTCTCCCCTCCCTCCCTCCTCCTCCTCTCTTCCTCCCTCCCTCCTTCCTCCTCGCTTTCCCTCTCTCTCTCTCTCTAACTCTCCTCTCTCTGTCTCCCTCCCTCGCCCTCTTCCTCCCCCTTCCAGCGTGAGGTCTTCCCCGATCTACGCCACAGCAGGAGATGACGCACTCAGGGTTTCACCTCGTCACTCGTGTCGTATTCGGGGCGTCACGCAAGGTCCGCCCTTGAGCCCTCCCTCGCTGGCGCACGACCCACCTACGGGGAGGGGAGGGAGGAGGGAGAGGAGAGTGGAGGTGAGGAGGAGAGGGGAGGAGGAGGAGGAGGTGGAGGTGAGAGGAGGTGGAGGTTGAGGGGAGGTGGAGGTGAAGGAGGAGGTGGAGAGGAGGAGGTGGAGGTGGAGGTGGAGGTGGGGAGGGAGGGGGTGGAGAGGAGGAGGAGAGGGGAGGGAGGAGGAGGAAGGAGGGTAAGGAGGAGGAGGGGGGAGAGGAGGGGGAGGAGGAGGAGGAGGAGAGAGAGAAGAAAGAGGAGTAGGAGGAAGAAAAAGAAGAAGGAGAAGAGGTCATGGCCTGACCTCTGCTTTTGTGTAAGGTCGTAGTTGTGGCAGTTCTTATGATGCGGTGGGGGGGTTTCCCTGTCTTTTTTTGTTTCTTTCTTTCTTTTCTTTGTTTTCGTTCGTGTGCATTCAGGTTCGTTGCCAATTAGGGCCATTAAGCACTTGGCGTCGAGTTGTCTCACTGCGTCCGAGGTGCCTTACGTAATGCCCGCCTTCCTCCGCTCCTTTCTTCGTTCGGGCGATGATGATGCTGATGATGATGATGATATGATGATGAGGAGGAGGAGGAGGAGGAGGAGGGGAGAGAGGAAGGAGAGGAGGAGGAGGAGGAGGAGGAGGAGGAGGAGGAGGAGAGAGGAGGAGGAGGAGAGGAGGAGGAGGAGGAGGAGGAGGAGGGAGGAGGAGGAGGAGGAGGAGGAGGAGGAGGAAGGAGGAGAAGGTAGAGGAGAGGAGAGGAGAGGAGGAGGAGAGGAGGAGGAGGAGCAGGGAGGAGGAGGAGGAAGGAGGAGGAGTAGGAGGAGGAGACCAGGAAGAGGAAGAGGAGGAGGAGGAGAGGAGGAGGAAAGAGGGAGAGGAGGAGGGGCAGGTGGTGAGGTTGCTTGCGAGGCGCTCGGGTTGTCGGGATCAGTTGGGTTTGATCTTACGTGCATCTCGTTTCTTATTTCCTTTCTTTTTTCCCATTCTCTCTCTCTGTCTCTGTCTCCCTCCCTCCCTCCCTCCCTCCCTCCCTCCTCCCTCCCCTCCCTCTCTCTCTCTCTCTCTCCCTCCCTCTCCATCTCCTCCGCTCTTCCTTCCGTCTCCCTCCCTCAGTCTCCATTCCCCTCCTCCTCCCTCCCTCCCCCCCTCCACCTCTCCCCGCCTAACCGCGCCCCTCCCTCCCTCCCTCCCTCCCTCTCTCTCTCTCTCTCTCCCTCCCTCTCCATCCCCCCCTCTCCTTCTCCTCCGCTCTTCCTTCCGTCTCCCTCCCTCAGTCTCCATTCCCTCCTCCTCCCTCCTCCCCCCCCCCTCCACCTCCCTCCCCGCCTAACCGCGCCCGTGTCTCCCTCCAGCGCGAGGACCTCCTCCGGAACGTGGACTGCAACGTGGACTGCCAGCACAAGTCGCGCAACCCGGTCTGCGGGACCAACGGCCGGAACTACGACTCGAGGTGCGACCTGGAGCGCGACATCTGCAAGAAGGTCAAGGTGCAGTTCAAGCATGAGGGCGAGTGTTCAC